CCTCCGGGAGTGGGCGGCATACAAGACAAATAAATAAATAAATAAATTAACCAAATCCAGCTTCCCCCTTTAATTTTGTCTGAAACTGACTAGGAAAGATTGCAACTACTAATCACATGGATGATTAGGATGCTCTAACCGTCATAAATATGAACCAATTGCTAAGTGCTCAAATTTTGATTGTTGTAATCACGGGAACTAATCATGTCACTTTTTTCAATGCCATTGTAACTTTGAATGGTTGCTAAATAAATAGTTGTAAGTCAAGGGTTGCCTGTAATGGTTGAACTAGTATCTCTTAGTAGAGCTATCTGCTGCTGAAATACGAATTACAGTAGTATCTGTTGTTGGGTTGTTTTTAAAGACATGCATATTTTAAATAACATTTTCACCAATATTGAGCTACCAAAATATAAGGTTCCATAGACAGATGCTGATAATCATTGGACCCCATTCAGTTACACTTTGCATCAAATATTCTTTGAAAGCCAATTCCCCCTGGGATGAGGAAAGTTAATCTATAATATTGTACATATTTTAGAATGGGATATTGAGGTCGAACAAGCAGCATTTTAATAAGAAAATGGTGCAAGAGGAATGAGCTAAAGCATCACACTTCAAGATCAAAAAGCCTGCAGCTATGATTTTTGAAAATTGGATAGGATAATACCAAGTACTTCTTTAAATATCACATGCTTAAGGTCACCTCTGGGTTAAGCTTTATTATTATTATAGTGCAAGGCTCATGAAAAATGGTGGCTTGGTTAAAATTAGTTAAGTTGATTGACTACGTTCATAATAAAAACAGAGAAAAATATTCATGCTTGTTATTATAGTGTGGTTAAAGAGCTGATCTAGGAATCAAGAAGCTATGAGTTTTAGTCCTGCCGTAGGCATAAAAACCAACTGGATCACTTGGAGCCAGTCATTCTTTCTCAGCCCAACCCTCACAGGGTTGTTGTGGGGAAAACAGGAAGAAGAAAGAGTGTTGGATATATTCGCTGTCTTAAGTTGCTTATAAACAATAATAAAGTGTTCTGACCCCGTCCTCCGTCCAGTAACGACTGCCGAGACAAGTTTAACTGGAATGTACTTTAATAGCAAGACACCAAAACCTC